TAAAAAATTACAATATGAACTCTAGTAAAAAAAAAAATAATAAAAAGGTTACTGTCTTAATAGATTTACAAGTACCCAAAATTCACTGACTGATGTCCCCAAGGACATATGACTCATTGGAAGTGATCCAAAAAGTCTCTTGTCCCAAAGAGTTGTGTGTTCAGTCCCTGCCCACAGCAGAGGGAACAAAAACTTGGGGAATTTAGTTACTACAGAGAATTAATGGATACTGAAATATCCAAAAAAAATGTGTGGCACATGGAATTAGAACAGTCTACCCCCGTGGACTAAATAAAGGGTTCGGTTCAAAATACCAACATATATCCCCTGAAGATGGCCAGTGAGTGCAACAGCCGAAACATTGTGAATTTTTGCAACAAACATGAGGACAACTGTCTGAACAATGTAAATAGTGTAAATGAAAAGAGCCAACCTGTGATTTATACTGCAATTACGCTGAGCAGATATTAGTTACGGTATCTAGGAGATAGAGCCTGTTATCTAGCATGATCAACAATCTGAACAACACCAGCACACTAAAACTCTCGGTCACGATGACTTTTGACTTTGTGCTAGATCAGTTATCGATGGCCTCCAAGTGTTCTGTCTACCCATTTTCAATCATCATTGCTTGGGTCAACCTGTTTTACGGTTTTCAGGCACTCTTCAAAGGTGCTGCACACTGGGATCGTCTCCCTCCACCGATAACATCGGGAAGTCTCCTTCCTGACAAATCAATCATGGTGAGATTCGAACCTTGATCTCATAATCAGAAAAAAATAATCTAAATACTCAGCCATACATCTACCCACATAAACACATTTAGAAGTGTGTAATATATATATATATATATATATATATATACACACACAAACAAATATTTACACAAACACATATAAACACATATTTACAGATACATAATTATGTATATATGCACAAACCAATACACACACACACATATATATACATACATATAATTACCAAAGTAACATGATATACATGAAAAGAAGAAGAAAAAATTATATTAATTAAATATACACAAATATAAACACACACAAACAATATGCACATACACATATACCTGTACATACACATATGTACTCATATGTATATGTCCATATATATATATATATATATATATATATCCACAGACACACAAATATTTACCTAAACAAATATAAGAGACATATAATTATGTGTATATGGACATACCAACCCGCACAAACGCATATATACCTATATATGCATATAATTACCAAAGTAACATGTACATGAGAAATAAAGTAAAAAATATATTAATTAAATATACACACAAATATAAACACACATGCACACACATATATATATGTATACATAAACACATGTACACACATGCACTCATACATGTACATACCTGTTTAAATATATATATATATATATATATATATATATATATATATATATATATATATATATATATATATATATAAATAAATATTTACCTAAAAAAATATAAAGAGACACATAATTATTTGTATATACACAAACTAAACCCACACAAACACATATATACATATATATGCAAAGTAACATAATGTACATGATAAAAGTAAAAAAATATTATTAATTATTTGTTTTCAGAAAGAAAAAAAAAGCGCCGAGTATAAAAGAGAAATGATCCATTGCTGCCTGACAAAATCTCTATTGCAGTTGCATTGACTCTTCTCAATCAATATATAAAAAAAGAAAACATAAGCTTAATGTTTTCAAAATCAAATTAAGACGTCATCATTAATTCTTTACATTACCAGTTAAGATGCTGTCAAAACGGAAACAAAAATAATAAAAAGTCACTAAAAGAACTGTGACCCCTTTTTCCGAGTGAACATGAAGTGGGAGTGCATCATATTGGCAAACATTAATCCGACAAATGAATTCTGTCGATGCTTAATAATCTCGATAAGAATTAATCTGTGCGATCGCTTCTTAAACATGTCAGAATTGATATCAAGCAAATTTGATGAATCGACCCGAAACTTTGTACAAAGCTGAATGGGAATAAATACAGTAAGGAAGATTGTGCTATATACATTGAAGGGTTTGCCTAGATAATCGGTATTCCAAATATTTTGATCATGGGATAGGCCATATGGGAATATCACTTTTTATTATTTTTCCTTATATAATAATACCCATAAAAAATCCACAGATTGTTTTATATTCATTTTGATATAAATAGGTTAAATATCCATAATACAGGGTGTCCATAAAGTTCGTGTGCACTTTAAAAAATTATAACTTTATTTGTTTTTGCGATAGAAATAATTTGTAAAAAGAATTAGAAAGAAGTAAATCTAAATTTTTTAAGGTTTTATTGAAATTTTATTTAAGTTTCCACATGTCCTCCATCATTAGCAATACAAAGGGTAATATGATTTTGCAGTCCACGGAAAAAATTTGCCAAATAATTTACAGTGATGGCTGAAATAACATGTTATTTTAGCTATACTTAAAACTAGGTACATTAAACTTTATAACATTTTTTACAGATTATTTCTATCAGAAATACAAATAAAGTTATAAATGTTTTAAAGTGCACACGAACTTTATGGACACCCTGTATTGGGTTGGTGCATTTTGTAGGCGAGTTAGTTGTTAATAAAAATTGCTGTTTTGGTTTACTTTGTTTTAATAAAAATATTTTATTTTTTATGTTAAATATGTGTCTATAATCATACGCTCCAGAATAATCATTTAAAAATGTTATTGTTGAATTGCTAGGTTTCTTTTTTTCATCATAAATATTGTATAAAAAACGCCTGATAATTATGCACCAACCCAATAATTGCATTCTTTAAGTTGTATTTGTTCCTGTATACATAGGTGGGCTTTCACTGTATCACCAATTGTTTCATATATGTAAGGGGAGAAAGGATGCTCTAATTTTTATAGAATTGTTTTATATTTATCTTAAATATTTTTCTTTTCTTTTCTTTACTTTTTACATTGCTTACCGCCTGCACAGCAAAGTAATCAACAAAATAGTATAGTATTATATTCAAAACATTTTCTTATTGATATAAGTTACACTGGCGCTGGGATGACTGCCTGCTGGTTGTAGACAGAGAGATGCAAGTTCAAATTTGATAAAATACTACCATATATCATCATTGCGATTTCAGTTGCAAATATATTAGGAGACACAAGACACTATTTTATGTGTTCCTGTCTTTTCCATCTGACTTAATAAAATTTAGTCTCACCATTGTGCTTAATTTGTAAATAACACCTTTATTCATGAATTTAGAATTTAGTGGGCAGGTACTATATTTTGGACAATTGCAATTTTTCTTCGTACTATCATTACTATTGAAGTTGTTTAAATATTTGTTTAATATTAAATTATTATGTTTTACTAAATACTGCTCAAGGTTTTTTGTATAGCTGTAGCTAATTTTAATGTGTAATTATTAATATATAATTGCAATTATTTTATTAATGTTGCAATTATTTTTTTAATGTGTACAGCTGTAGCTAATTTTAATGTGTAATTATTAATATATAGCTCTGTTTAACTACACTGAGCACTGTTTTGTCTACATCATTGATTAAATATATAGTTATTTGCTCACCTGTATGTGTATGTAATCACTTACATATATGGTTGATTGTATCTCATTATTCAGATCATTTCTATCTCTCTCTCTCTCTCTATATATATATATATATATATATATATATATATATAATGTAAAATCAGAAAATGTTAAAATTGTTTATTTATAAAAGGGGTTAAGTACAGAAACCATAAATATTTACTTACCAGTTTCACTGTTTTTGTCAACTTGTTGAATATCTACATCGTATTTAATAAATGTTTTTATGGCCTCATCAGCACCTTTTCCAGCAGCCCACATGAATGCAGTACGTCCCTCCACATCTGGCTCATCAGTCACGTTCTTCCGTGAAAGAAACACTTCAACAGTTTGCTTGGTAAAAAAAAAAAAAAAAAATACATAAATAAATCAGAAGAATTTAACAAAATGTAACCGGTATTAATACCTGCCAAGTTTACCGGCACACAGGACATCCCACCCATTAGCCCATTCCTGACACACAAAAAATATTTTCCAGGTTTATGTGCTTATTTTACAAGTTCATTTTAATTCAATGGCTGACCTAGCAATACTTCAACAAATTTATTTCCCAATCCAGGGTAGGTGTTGTACAGAGTGAGAGGGGAATGTATTATTCGAATATTTTATATCAAACTCAGTCAAATTGTGTGTATGTGTGTACATTAAATGGCACAATCACATGCAAGTAGCTCACATACAATGCAGACATATTGTGGTGTAAGTAGCCATGGTCAAATGCAAAATAAATAACAGAACTGCCCAATAAACAGAATTGACAAGGTTTTCAAAAAGCAGTAACAAGAAAAGAACAGGGCAAAAGAAAAAATATAAAGCAAGCAAACAATATATGCAAGGCAAATTAACAGCAATAAGGCACAGCAACATTAATCTGGTGAAAAGTTCACACACTAAGAATTGGGGTTGACACACACTAAGAATTGGGGTTGACACACAAGAGCAAATTCTGATAACTGAACATAGCATTCTGACTTTAAAGCAAGACAGACTGGGACTAAGTAAGATGAAACTGAGAACCAGTCTTTTTTATTGGCTAGGAAGAAATCATAGCATGCTTCTGTGTGCTTCTGCCTATAAAAGGAGAAGGAAAAGTATTTTACAGTTCTTCCCACCAAAAGTGGAATCAACATATATACATATGCAAAGTCACATGCAGAAAGTGGGACAGACAGAGAATCAGCTTGTCTTTTATAATATAGATTCTTAACCAGCCTTGCCTGTTAAATGAACCAATAATTCTTCTGAATCCCATTTTTCAGTTAAAAAAAACAAAAACAAAAAAGAAATGACTATAAAGCAAATAAAATGCAGAAAAATGTGGTGTGTTTCCAAAAGTGAACAAGTCATTTTTTTTTTTACTGGAAAAGGGCTATTTTCTCAGACAATTGTTGAATTGAACTTTTTCCAAGAATCAGATAATATGTGAGACAACTCCCATAATTTATGATTTAGTGAAAAAAAAAATATGCTGAAAACTTATCTCCCCTCTGCACCATTTGGAATATTAATGAATTCAAACATTAGACAGAAAAAGTGAAAAGAAATTCCAAAGATATATCAATAAATGGTAAGGGTAATATTAACTGTTTCCTTATAAGGAAACATTTAGCATTCATTGATCAAGTAGCTAGTACTACTTTCAGTTGAAATTTATAAAATCTTTCTCTTAAAATGATTTTTCAGGAGAATAGATTTCTTAAGTCCACTAGTTGTTATTGCTCTTTCTAGTATTGATGGGAATTTCCTTTCTAACCTTTTGTTTGAGACACTGAATCAAAAAATTACAAAGCAGCAACAAAGAATAGGAATTTGTGGAGAAGCCTTGATGATCAAATTAACATCCTGAAGAAGAATATGCTGTATGCTTAACCAGTATATATGGACAACTCAACTAATGACATGATGCATATACAAAGGAATTTGAATAATAATGGAAACATTAGCTTCTTCCCATTTCATTTGTCATTCCTTTGAATTCGGCAGCTTTTAATGTCAGATGAAATTTATAAAATCTTTCTTTAAAACAATTTTTCAGGAGAATAGATTTTTTAAGTCCACTAGCTGTTATTGCTTTTCTAGTATTGATGGGAGTTTCCTTCCTAATCTTTTGTTTGTAACACTAGAAAAAATGTCTGTTTAAAAAGAAAAAACCTTACAAATGAAATCATTGGGTTCTGGACAAGAATACCCTTCAAACATGTAAGAGTATAGCAAAAGAAAATGAGCAGCTATCTCAGTGACTGATCCAAGTCCCATACATTTAAAACAGATATGATCTTAGTTTTGAAAGATAGAATCTTCATTTCCTTATTTCTTTACAAAATTACACAAGAACTTTTTGTATAAAGACACTTTTTTGATTATGAAATATAGGTTTATGAAAATTTTTTCTTCCATTAATTTTTGAATATCTGTAAAAATGAAAATATCCTCTTTTCTCTCCTGTTTTTTTATTAATTCTTTAAAAATTTTGGAATTTCCAAGAGGAATAATGGATAGCTGCACTTAATAAAAAAAAAATGTTAAATTCAGGTTTATGTTCATTACCTAATTACAAATTATTTTCTTCAATGTTGATTTATTTTTAAAAAACAAAAGTATTTAATAATTTATAATATAATGGATAAATCTTTATTTCAAAAGATGTTAAAATTCCTGTCAAAACCATTACCATTCTCTAAGTTTTACCCTTTATAGAGAATCAATTTTCTTCCTGATTTATTTATTTTTCAAACAGGATTTTATTATTTTCTTTATAATTTCAACGGAGTTTGCGAGGAGTTTTAGAATTTTTCAAATATTTATTTTTCTTCGAATCCATTACATTCATTTCATGCTATACCCTTGGGAAAGGTATGAATCCTCTTCTTCTCATCCTGATTTATTTATTAACACAAACAAACGTTTATTATAATTTATAATAAAAAACAAAATGATGGCAATGGATAGCCAAACTTAATTGAGGAATCAAAGAGTAAATTTTGTAGAGATGCATTACATTCAGCTGCACTAATACCCTTGGGAAACAGTTGTTGAATCCTCTTCTTCTCTCTGATTTAATTAATACAAACAAAAAAAGATTATTATAATTTATAATAAAAGGAGGCCATGAGATAATGGATAAGGAAGAACAAAAATTTTAGTTCGAAAAATGATCCATTTTCATATTCTCATAATTGCCTGGGAAGGGATTTATCCTCTTCTTCTCTCCTGATTTATTTATTAAAAACAAAAAAAGAATTTAAAGTTAATTTATAAAAAAAAGGCCATGCCATGAAATGGATAGCCAATCGGAAAATCAAAAGAGCAATTATTTTCTGTTCAATCCATTACATTCCTTCCAAATGTGATAATACCCTTTTGAAAGAGAATCCTCTTCTTCTCTCAAATTTTTTAATAAACTAACAAAAGTGGCTATATAATTTATAATAAAAATAAATCCATTGGATATTCTTGAGAAATCAAGAGCATTCTATAGTCCCTTCAATCCATTACATTAGCTGCAGAGGATTTGGGAAAGGTTTAAATCCTCTTCTTCTCTCTGATTTATTTATGTAACAAAACAAAAGATTTATTATAATTTATAATAACATCTTCGGCACAAATGGATTTTTTTAAAAAAAATTTTTTTCCTTTCATAATCCATTACATTCCTTACTCAAACCCTTTGATATTCTCATTAGCAAAAGATTCTCTCCTGATATTTATTAACACAAACAAAAAAAGTAAATTTTATAATAAAAAAAGTACTGAATAGCAATGGATAGCAATCCTCCTATTGAGGAATCAAAGAGCCAATTTTTCACAGATGAAGAGATGACTTGTGGTCCTACATTCACTTGCTGAGAATACCATTGGGGAACATGTGAATCAAGTTCTTCTCTCTGATTTAAATATTAACAAAACAAAACAATTTATTATAATTTATAAGAAAAGGAGGCCTGAGGAGTAATGGATAAAGGCTTGGAGAATTTGGAATCAAAGACATACCACTTCAAAAATGGCAAAGAATCCATTACATTCACTTACGTACTAATACCCTTGGGAAAGGTATGAATCCTCTTCTTCTCTCTGATTTATTTATTAGCAAAACAAAATAATTTATTATAATTTATAATAAAAAGGGAGGCCATGAGGAGCCATGGATAGCCGCTCGGCCTTGATTAATCAAACACAGTATAATTCCTAGGAGAATCCATTACATTCACTTACAATTAATACCCTTAAAAAGGTATGAATCCTCTTCTTCTCTCTGAAATTTTTATTAACACAAACAAAAAACAATTTATTATAATTTATAATAAAAAGGAGGCCATAATGGATAATTTTTGGATTGAAGAATCAGATTAGAAAACAATCAGATCCATTACATTCAAACCCTTGGGAAATGCTTTAAAGTCTTCCTATTTATATTAACACATGTTGGGTTTATTATAATTTATAATAAAAGGAGGCCATGAGGAGTTCTATGGATTTTTTTTTATCGGATTGAATCAGAGAGACACTTAAATTCAGTCGAATCCATTACATTCATTTGGTGAATACCCTTGGGAAAGGTATGAATCCTCTTCTTCTCTCCTGATTTTATTATTAACACAAACAAAAAAAATTTATTATAATTTATTATAAAAACTGGCCAATGAGGAATTATGGATAATAAGATAGGCAAGAATGAATCAGAGACAGTTAACATTCAATCATACTCCATTTTTACATTCAAAGTTCAAGGCAAATGAGATTGGGTAAAAATATGAATCTCTTTTTCTCTCTTAATTTATTTATTAACAGGAAACAAAAACTTAATTTATTATAATTTATAATAAAAAGGAGGCCATTTAATGGATAGCAAATCTTACAGATGAATCAGAGAGGGTTCTTCAATCCCCTTGTCCAATACCACTTAATACCCTATGGGAAATATATGAATCCTCTTCTTCTCTCTTGATTTATTTATTAACACAAATTAAAAACAATTTATTATAATTTATAATAAAAATGGCCATGAACTGAGTAATGGATTATTACTGTTGATTGATGAATCAGAGAGCCGTATATAAAATATATATAGTAAATGAATCCATTATTTTCACTTTCTTTATCTTTTATTTTTTGGGAAAAATATGAATCCTCTTCTTCTCTCCTGATTTATTTATTAACACAAACAAAATTTTATTATAATTTATAATAAAAACCAGAGGCCATTTTATCTTGTTGGTTTCTTGGATTGATTTGGATCAGAGCCGTGTTTTTTTTTTTTATTTTTCATAAAAGATTCAGCCAAACAAAATAAGCTGCTTGGATTCAGGTATGAACATCTGTTACTTCTTCTCTATTTTAATTTATTAATTTTTTTTAAAGCAATTTAAACTATAAAAAAGTATTCTTAAAATAAATATTCAGTTAATTTAAAAATATTCCATTTGAGGTTTATTTATAGAGCTTTATTCAATCCAAACCTGTTCATTTTTCATATTAAACTAATACCCTTGGGAAAGGTATTCAATCCTCTTCTTCTCTCCTGATTTATTTATTAACACAAACAAAAAATTTAAAGAATTTATAATTTTAAAGATTTTCTTGGCAATAGATGTTGGATTGAGGAAAAAAAGAGAGTTAATTTTTGAAAAAGGAAAGATTGAGAAAAAGTTCCAATCTTCTTTTCTCTGATTTATTATTAAAACAAACAAAAAAATTTATTATAATTTATAAAAAAATGAGGCCAAAATTGGAGATCTGGATACATGTTTTGAGGAATCAAAAGAGTACAATTTCCTGTTTAATCCATTTTCATTCCTTACGACTGGAAATACCATTTAGGAAAGGTATGAATTTTATCTCTCCTATTTATTTTTAACCTATCCAACAATTTATTATAATTTATAATGAAAACAAATATTAAAATGGATTTTTTTCTTTCAATAGGAATCATTCATGCAAAAGGAAATTAAATAATAAAATGATTGATTTTGATTAAACAAACAATTGATTTATGGCTTCATGAGAACATGCATAATAATATAAACATGAATTTGTTATAATTTATAATAAAAAACCAGATGGATTTATATCTGTAAATGGACAATTTTTTAACTATCTTTGCCTTGAATTCAAATGAAAATTTTCATCTAAAATTAATCCATTCCTTTTGTTCTTTATTCATATATTTATATATAAATTCATATCTTAGAGATTGATTTATTTATTAATGCAAAAAAAAAAATGGTTTTTTAAATTTCATCTGTAAAAGGTTATTCTCTTGTAATGGATAATTTAAAATTTCTTTATTTTTAATCTTAGAAGTTGGTTCCATCTCAATCCATTAGATTCCTGAATTTTTTATACCCTTGGGAAAGGTATGAATCCTCTTCTTCTCTATGAAAAATTTTTTAAAAAAAACAATTTATTATAATTTATAATTAAAGGAAGGCCATTGGAGTAATGGATAGCTTATTTTTGAATCAGGCTTAAAATACTTTTGTAAATTATTTTATGGATATAATACCATTAAGGAAAAATATGAAAATATTTCTTCTCTCCTGATTTAAAGGCATTAACACAAACAAAACAATTTATTATAATTTATTAATAAAAAAGGAGAAGCCATGGAGAATGGATAACATTTGACTGAATCAGAGAAAATAAACCAGTGTGGCATTATATTCAATTTAAATGAATGATATCCTTTTAAATTTGAAACCTTTCTTCTCTGGATTTATTTATTAACACAAACAAAACAATTTATTATAATTTATAATAAAAAGGAGGCCATGAAAGCCTATAAATTTGATTCAAAAAAGTTTCAAATTTGAAAATTTCTTTAGGTTATTTAAGAAAAATTAATTCCTCACGTTATATTTAAAAAGGATTTTTTAAAAAATTTATGAAAAAAAATTTATTTTATGCTAAAAAAAAATTAATTTTTAAATTAAGAAAAGAATGAAACAATGGATAAAAAATTTTTGAATTAAAAAAGAAAAAAAAATATAATCATTACATTTTTAAAAGATATTACATTTTTAAAAATGAAAAATCTTCTTTAAATTGATTTTTTATTTAATTTTCAAAACAATTTAATAATTTAAATAAAAAAAAACAATGAGGAATAAAATAGCAGTTTTGCAACTAGTCAAGAATTTAATTTTGTGGAATCCATTTAATTCACTTACAATGCTAATACCCTTAGGGAAAAGGGAATTTTCTTCTCTCTTTTTATTTATTAATACAAAATTAAAAAATTTATTAAAATTTAAATAATAAAAAAGGAACATTCATGAAAAGTAAAAATTTGAACTGTAATCTGGGATTGATGAATCAATGGTTTGAATTTGAATTCCAGTTAAATCCATTATAATTCACTTAAAAAATACCCTTAAAAAAAATTCTTCTTTGATTTATTTATTAACACAAACAAAACAATTTATTATAATTTATAATAAAAATCTTCATGAGGATAATGGATAGCCAAAATCTCTTTTGATGAATCAGAGAGCCTAGAATTTGAACAATCCATTATTTGTCTCAATACCATTAGGAAAGGTATGAATCCTCTTCTTCTTCTTTATTATTTATTAACACAAACAAAAGAATTTTTACTAATTTATAATAAAAGGAATGGAGTTGGATAGCAATTTTTTGAGGAATCAGATATGAAGTTTTAATTCCAGTCAAATTTTACATTTAATTCACGTATAATACCTTGAGAAAGGTATGAATCCTCTTTTTCTCCCCACCAATATAAATAGAGATTACAGACCAGGTTCTAATTTTGGATAATGAAGGTAAAATTTTACATTTATTTTTAATAAACACAAAGATATACTGTGGGAAAAAAATTTTACCTTTAGGTCAATATCAAAAAATACAGATTTTTATTTCAAACATCAAAAATGACAAAAACTGAGAATGAAAATCTTTATTATGTCATTATTTCATTTTTGAAAAATTTGCTATCCATTTTAGTTTTGCTGCTGGTGAAATCCTTAACTGAATGGTTTCTGTTTTTTGGTACAGTCCTTTTCTAGATTTGTCTGTAGTGCCAGTCATAAGGTTTGAAGAAAAGTCAGTTGACTCACAGACTTCACACATTTACATTTTAAGCATCGATCAGAGAAAGCGGTTGTATACAGCTAACAGTTTAGATATTTCTGAAAAGTTTTTGGCACAAAGATGACATCCATTGGAAAGTCTCGATCTGACAAGACTATTTAAAAATATAAATTGAATTTTCAAGTTAATATTTTGGTTTTGAAGTAATTTGTGGTGTTGTGTGAAACAACCTCTAGTAAAAATGGAGAAAGAGAAAAGTGTCAGGTTTCCTTCCTTGTAATTCTGACCTGGAGTGACTGCCACTAATTTTGTCAAACATTTTTAAATTCTATGGTGTTTGAATTCCTCCCCCTCTTGCCAACATTTATAAAAAGTCACAAAAACTCCCAGCCCAATTTTTGTCTCAGTCTAAAATATTCTGGTTGAGATTGATCAGAGGTAGATAGGAGTGTTGCTGTTTTCCCCAATTAAAGAGTCGTTATTCCCTCTCAGATTGTTTAACAAAATTGTATCTTGCTATGAAGGCTTAAGGCCATAGAATGCTAGGAAAAATAATGAACTTAGTAAATAATATGAACTTTTTAAGCAATCAAAAAGAAGCTAAAGTGGAAACTAAATACTTGATTTTCTAAAACTCAAATCTATTTCCAGGTTGCTGAAAAACAAACCAAAAAAATAACCCGAGGAAAACATTTTACTCTTAGAAACTTACTGCAGAATTGTTTTTGGCAGCATAATGCAAGGGTGTAGCACTGTTAGAATCCGAACAGGCATAGTCGGCACCATTGTCCAGTAAGATGCTTATAATTTGGGAATGTCCTGAAAGAAAGTAAAATTAAAATGAGAACTACAGTACAACCAAAAAAATTATTTTCTCAATTATCCTCATCTTGCTTGTTTTTATCACAGATGTTTTTCTTTTCTTGTGAGTCTTCCTAATGCTGTCAAAAATTTCTGAAATGAATTGTCATCAATATTTATTCTTTTTAAGTTTTGACAGATGTGTTCTTATTCTTTCTCTGCACTGCCAGAAATTCCAGAATTCTAGAATTTTTATGGATATTCTTAAGTTCTCCTTATTCTATGCAACGGATAAGTAGATTGGTTGATTTTATTCAAGATTTCATATTTGTCCTATTTTCATCTCTGTTGTTTTCAACATGTTTTACCCAGATCAATATACACCTAAAGAAGGCCATAGGATACAATGAATGAAACTTTGTGATAACAACAACAATGAGGACAATAGTCCAGATATAAATAGTATAAATAATAACAAATCCTCATCCCAGAAATTCAGACAGACAATGATCAGGTGATAATAACAAGAAAAATGAGGACAATAGTCTAAATGTAAATAATGTAAATAATGAAATCTCGTCATCCTAGAAATTCAGACAGAAGGCGATCAGGTGATAATAACAACAAAGATGAGGACAATAGTCCAAATATAAATAATGTAAATAATGATAACTCCTCATCCGAGAAATTCAGACAGAAGGCAATCAGGTGATAATAACAACAAAGATAAGGATAAAATTCCAAATATAAATAATGTAAATAATAACTCCTCATTCCAGAAATTTAGACAGAAGCCGATCAGGTGATAATAACAACAAAGATGAGGACAATAGTCTAAATGTAAATAATGTAAATAATTATAACTCCTTATCCGAGAAATTCAGACAGAAGGCAATCAGGTGATAATAACAACAAAAATGAGGACAATAGTCCAAATATAAATAATGTAAATAATTATAACTCCTCATCTCAGAAATTCAGACAGAAGGCAATCAGGTGATAATAACAACAAAAATGAGGACAATAGTCCAAATATAAATAATGTAAATAATGATAAATCCTCATCTCAGAAATTCAGACAGAAGGCGATCAGGTGATAATAACAACAAAGATAAGGATAAAATTCCAAATATAAATAATGTAAATAATGATAACTCCTCATCCGAGAAATTCAGACAGAAGGCAATCAGGTGATAATAACAACAAAGATGAGGACAATAGTCCAAATATAAATAATGTAAATAATGATAACTCCTCATCCCAGAAATTCAGACAGAAGGCAATCAGGTGATAATAACAACAAAGATGAGGACAATAGTCCAAATATAAATAATATAAATAATGATAAATTCTCATCCCAGAAATTCAGACAGAAGGCAATCAGGTGATAATAACAAAAAAGATGAGGACAATAGTCCAAATATAAATAATGAAAATAATGATAACTCCTCATCCGAGAAATTTAGACAGAAGCCGATCAGGTGATAATAACAACAAAGATGAGGACAATAGTCCAAATATAAATAATGTAAATAATGATAACTCCTCATCCCAGAAATTCAGACAGAAGGCAATCAGGTGATAATAACAACAAAGATGAGGACAATAGTCCAAATATAAATAATGTAAATAATTATAACTCCTCATCCGAGAAATTCAGACAGAAGGCAATCAGGTGATAATAACAACAAAGATGAGGACAATAGTCCAAATATAAATAATGTAAATAATTATAACTCCTCATCCCAGAAATTCAGACAGAAGGCAATCAGGTGATAATAACAACAAAGATGAGGACAATAGTCCAAATATAAATAATGTAAATAATGATAAATCCTCATCCCAGAAATTCAGACAGAAGGCAATCAGGTGATAATAACAACAAAGATGAGGACAATAGTCCAAATGTAAATAATGATAACTCCTCATCCCAGAAATTCAGACAGAAGGTGATCAGGTTATAATAGGAACAAAGATGAGGACAATAGTCCAAATATAAATAATGTAAATAATGATAACTCATCATTCTAGAATTAGGATAGAAATTGTTTTAATCAATGCAAACTTTGGCTTTTATTTCTGTTTATTGCAGCCAAGAACCTTTAGATGTTGTATAGAAAACAGAAAAGTAGTAATGGTAATATTAGCCATTTGCTTATAAAGAAACATTTGGCATGCTGCTTTTCAATTGAAATGTGTAAAATCTTTCTCTTAAAACAAGTTTTCAAGAAAATAGATTTCTAATGTCCAGTAAGACTTATTGCTCTTACTAGTAGAGATGATAGTTGCCTTCCTAACCTTTTGTTTGAAGTTGTGTGGATAGCCAGTATCTTCTTTCTGTCTGAATTTCTGTGATGAAGTGTTATCATTATTTACTTTATTTATATTTGAACTATTGTCTTCATCCCTGTTGTTATGACAATGTTTTGGCTTTTGTGCTCTCCTTACCTTGATGTACACCTGAGGAAGGCCAAAGGGCACAACAATTGAAACATTGTGAGAACAATAACAGTCTGAATATAAATAGTGTAAATAATGCCAATATCTTGATGATGTCATTATTTTCTCTTTGAGTTACAAGTGTTAGACATTTTAGTTGTTGCTGTTGTTGAAAGTCTTTCAGTGATGTTTCTATGATTTGGTACAGTTCTTTGTTTTAATGGATGCCATATGCAAGATTCATGAGGAAAGGCAAAAGATGTCTTCCTGGTTTAGGTATAAAAAAAGGATTTGAGAACAAATGCTTGAGAAAGCTCCTCCACATCTTCTACTGGGAGCACAAAACCAATGACTATGTACAGAGAAAGACAAAAGTTTCATGGGCCAACAGGAATTCCTTCTTGATACTATTAAGTATCAAAAGAGGTCATGGTTTGGTCATATCACATGGCATAACAGACTCTGCAAGACCATCATGCAAGGCAGTATTGAAGGCAGATGCAAGCAGGGATGGCAATGCAAGAACTGGTCAGACAACATCAAAGAGAGGACGGACATGACAATGCCAGAACTCCTGACAGTCAACCGCCAACAGGTCATCCTGGGGGAAGTTGTTATGGTTTGGCCATATCATATGGTATAAGAAACTCTGCAAGACCATCATGCAAGGCAGTATTGAAGACAGATGCAAGCAGGGATGGCAATGCAAGAACTGGTCAGATAACATCAAAGAGAGGACGGACATGACAATGCCAGAACTCCTGACAGTCAACCGCCAACAGGTCATCCTGGGGGAAGTTGTTATGGTTTAGCCATATCATATGGTATAAGAAACTCTGCAAGACCATCATGCAAGGCAGTATTGAAGGCAGATGCAAGCAGGGATGGCAATGCAAGAACTGGTCAGATAACATCAAAGAGAGGACGGACATGACAATGCCAGAACTCCTGACAGTCAACCGCCAACAGGTCATCCTGGGGAAGTTGTCATGGTTTGGCCATATCATATGGTATAAGAAACTCTGCAAGACCATCATGCAAGGCAGTATTGAAGGCAGATGCAAGCAGGGATGGCAATGCAAGAACTGGTCAGATAACATCAAAGAGAGGACGGACATGACAATGCCAGAACTCCTGACAGTCAACCGCCAACAGGTCATCCTGGGGGAAGTTGTTATGGTTTGGCCATATCATATGGTATAAGAAACTCTGCAAGACCATCATGTCAAGGCAGTATTGAAGGCAGATGCAAGCAGGGATGGCAATGCAAGAACTGGTCAGATAACATCAAAGGAGGACGGACATGACAATGCCAGAACTCCTGACAGTCAACCATAACAGGTCATCCTGGGGGAAGTTGTCATGGTTTGGCCATATCACATGGTATAAGAAACTCTGCAAGACCATCATGCAAGGCAGTATTGAAGGCAGATGCAAGCAGGGATGGCAATGCAAGAACTGGTCAGATAACATCAAAGAGAGGACGGACATGACAATGCCAGAACTCCTGACAGTCAACCAACAGGTCATCCTGGGGGAAGTTGTTATGGTTTGGCCATATCATATGGTATAAAAACTCTGCAAGACCATCATGCAAGGCAGTATTGAAGGCAGATGCAAGCAGGGATGGCAATGCAAGAACTGGTCAGATAACATCAAAGAGAGGACGGACATGACAATGCCAGAACTCCCTGACAGTCAACCATAAACAGGTCATCCTGGGGGAAGTTGTTTATGGTTTGGCCATATCATATGGTATAAGAAACTCTGCAAGACCATCATGCAAGGCAGTATTGAAGGCAGATGCAAGCAGGGATGGCAATGCAAGAACTGGTCAGATAACATCAAAGAGAGGACGGACATGACAATGCCAGAACTCCTGACAGTCAACCGCCAACAGGTCATCCTGGGGGAAGTTGTTATGGTTTAGCCATATCATATGGTATAAGAAACTCTGCAAGACCATCATGCAAGGCAGTATTGAAGGCAGATGCAAGCAGGGATGGCAATGCAAGAACTGGTCAGATAACATCAAAGAGAGGACGGACATGACAATGCCAGAACTCCTGACAGTCAACCGCCAACAGGTCATCCTGGGGGAAGTTGTTATGGTTTTGGCCATATCATATGGTATAAGAAACTCTGCAAGACCATCATGCAAGGCAGTATTGAAGGCAGATGCAAGCAGGGATGGCAATGCAAGAACTGGTCAGATAACATCAAAGAGAGGACGGACATGACAATGCCAGAACTCCTGACAGTCAACCTCCTGACAGTCAACTGCCAACAGGTCATCCTGGGGAAGTTGTTATGGTTTGGCCATATCATATGGTATAAGAAACTCTGCAAGACCATCATGCAAGGCAGTATTGAAGGCAGATGCAAGCAGGGATGGCAATGCAAGAACTGGTCAGATAACATCAAAGAGAGGACGGACATGACAATGCCAGAACTCCTGACAGTCAACCGCCAACAGGTCATCCTGGGGAAGTTGTTATGGTTTGGCCATATCATATGGTATAAGAAACTCTGCAAGACCATCATGCAAGGCAGTATTGAAGGCAGATGCAAGCAGGGAT